ACCGGGGCGCCAAGGACGTGCTCGAGTGCGGGCGCCGCGGGGCGCGGGCGACGCCGACTTCGGAGCGCGGCTTGGGCACGAGGCGCGGAATGCTGCCGTGGCGAGAAAATGACGCCTCGGAGCGCTGGCCACTCGACTGGCGCGAGAGCGGCGGCGGCGGTGCGATCCGGGGCGCGCTCGGGTGCCGCGACAAGCTCGGCTCGGGCTCGAGCGCGTCCAGCACGTTTTGGTAGCTCCCGCTTTGGCTGTGGAGGGTGCTCGTGGCTGTGGTGGAGAGCGAGCTTAGCGACGGGTTGGAGACGCCGCCCGACATGCGTCGCGCCGGCAGTCGCGTCGACTCGCGGAGTCCTGGGTTGCTGCTGCTGTTGTTGCTGCTTGTTGCAGAGTTGGCGGTCACAGCACGGTGGCCGCGGTCGGTGCCAAAGAGCGACTGGTCCGACGCCTTGCGCGGGAGCGGGCCGTTGCTGCTCGCACTCATGTTGGCGGTCGCGCGCAGGTTGCCACTGCTGCTGCTGCTGTTGTTGTTGTTGACGGACGAGAGGTGGGAGAACTCGCTCTCGGGCGAGACCAGCTGCGAGTGCACGCTTCTCGGCGACGTCGTGTCGTCGCTCTGTACGTGGGAGCGGACGACGCGGTGCTGCTTGGGCCGCGACGCGCAGTGGAGGCACGCGCGCACGCCCTTTCGGCCCTTCTCGCCGACCTGGTCGAGCATCACGGTGGTCGAGCACTGCGTGCAAATGGCATGCGCGCACATCCGACAGTGGTGCCGCCGGCGAAAGAGGCCAAAGGTCTTGAGGCACACGCCGCAGTGCATCTCGTCGCCAAAGTCGGCGGTCGTTGCGACGGCGACGCGCGCGGCCGACGCGGTCCGGAGGCTCGCGACGAAGTTGAGTGCGAACGCTTGCATCCACTTGAGTCGCTTGGTGTGTTTGTCGAGGCAAAAGACTAGCGAAATCTGACAGTTCTCGTCGTCGGCGTCGTCGCTGGCCGTCACAACGATGCCCGTGTGTTTGAAGAGACTGCGCGTCGCGTTCGGGTACTTGGCGGCAACGACGTCGACCGACTCCCAGACCATGGTGCCAATACGTGGCATCGCTTGGTTGGCCGGAGAGGCGAAGAGCTGTGCATGCGCCATAAAGACAAAGTCCTTGATCTCGACGCCTTCGGTCGACCACGCCATCCACGCGAGATGCAACGGTGGTAGCGGGTCGCAGTTGACGCTGAGAATGTGGTCGCCCGTGTAGAACGCTGGTTTCCCGAGCGCGTTCAAGGTTTGGTTGAGCAGCTCGGTGCTGTCGAGGCGGAGCTGCGCGACCGCGTTGGCGACGCTGCTGGACGCGTTCACCGTGGCTTTGACCATGTACTCGCCCGTCTCGGCGAGGCCCTCGTAGAGCATGACGCCGTTCTTATCCTTGACGTAGTTCCACGCTGTCTTCATTAGGGGCTTGGACGATGAGGCCGACGACGCTGTCATTGGGTTGGACGAGGCCAAGCGCACGAGCGCATCGGCTTTGGCGACCGCGACGTGCTGCATCTGCGCCGTGATGTGGCGCGGGAGGCCCTTGAGCCCGAGCGCATCGAGACGGCGCTTGAAGATGATCTTCTCCTTCTCTTCCTTGCCCGTGACCATGGGGCCAACGTGCAGCACGCTCGCGTTGCCAGCGTTGGACATCATCATCACGCTGCTGCTGTGGGGACGGTCGAGGCAAAAAGGCAAACTGGCACGCAGGTGCGATTTCTCAGGCGCGCCATTTTGTTGAGTGTGGTGAATTAGGACGCCTCGTGTTTTTCACGTGAAAATCACACATTCCATCACGAGTGCCGAGGCTGACACACGGGGCGAGCTTGTTACAGGAAGCATCGCCTCTCCTGTCGGCGATGACACGTGCACGCTGCAAGGCAGCTGGCGGGGCCGACAGGCTTCCTGGACGCATACGCAGCAGCGTCGAGGGCCTAAAAGCAATGACGCGTCCACGTTGTCAGCGCCACGCCCCGCATGTGCTTCGTAGAGCTCTTCGCAGTGGTCGTAGAGGCAGCATCCTTTGCCAACGGCGTGGCCGATTGGCTACGACTGCAGTGCGTCGAGTCGGGTTGATGGTCATGTCGACAATATTCGCACCATGTTCGAAGCGTCTTTGGCCCTCGGCGACGCATTTATGGCGCGACCGAAGGCTCTGCAGCGTGTCTTGCTGCGCATGCTGCCATCGGTCGATCGCCGTGGCGTGACGGCCTTTCTCTGTTGCCACCGATATCGTATCCGCATCAACGCCAGCGAATCTGCCTCCCCGACGCATGCGCACTTGGTCATGCTGGTGATGTGGACGGCGTCACGAGCATCGCGGGTGCGGCATCGTGTGTGGCAAGACCACGGCGTGGACAGCGTATTTTACACATCCTAACACACGGTGGTAAATGGCTCCAATTCGGCAATGTCCGAATTGAATGCAGCAATATCCGAATTGCGTGCGCGACACCGGCCGTAGTAATGCGTTCGCGTGGGGTGGTGGAACGCCGCATGCTATCACTTGGACGTTCCACCCACGAGTAGCTCGGATGACCTTTGTCTGCATCTCCTGTCTCCTGGAGCTCGAGAGCGCTGGCCAGCCTCCTGGCCGAACGCCTCGCGTCGACTTTAGCCAAGCGACAACGACAGCGACGGCGCGTTACCGCCCACATTACGCGAGGTCGAGTTGCTGCAGCGACCCACCTCGTGACGGTCTGGTCTTGCGGTGTCGGGACGGAAGACACATGTGGTGGGTGCAACGAACGCCATGACGTGGCAGCGCGGCGTCGCCCCGCTTGTCCAGCCTGTACGTCCGCGCGACTTGACCGACAGGCTACAGCGTGAGTACCAACGTCCAGCGGTACAAACACAACTGGCCATCGAGACAGCGTACTAGATTGGCGACGTCCAGTAGTACACCTGGTCCGATATGGCCGAGTATGGGCGAGCGACCCAGTGGTGCGAACGCTGTCGGAGCGTGGCACCTGCCGTCATCATCGTGTTTCGGCTCGGGCCAAACGAGCGTCGGCCTCGGTGGCGAGACAACGGCGCGAAGTATGCAAGCGCGCTCGATCGCGTCGAGAGATAAGCGGTCCACGGCTGTCAACGGCAACACCACCACACGACAGGCAAAACCGACCTTCTCGAGGTGTCGGTCACGTTCTCGCGATCATGAGCTCTGATCCATGACGCGCCGTAGATTGCTTGTCGCCGCGCAAGTTGCGACTGAAAGAAACACGCAATAATGTGGGAAGCGACTGCGCGGACAGGCCATGGACGCACATTGCATCGGACGGATCAGAAGACACCTAGCTAATAATCTACCGCAACCAAGTCGGATCATTCGGTTTCATTAGACGAGCGGTATCAGATCTTTGCGGTATCAGTAGCCGCTTTCATAGGCGTCCCAGAAAGGCTCGCCTTCGTCGCCTTGGAGCACGATCGTGATGGGCCCGATGGCGCCGGCGGCGCGAAGCTTGGCGGAAACGACGTCGCTTGGCGTGGCCGGGTGGTCGGCGCCAAGCCACACGAATGCCGTCGAGGCACTTGCAGCCACGCGATCGTGTCTGGCACCAAGTCGCTGCTGTCGTACTCGCGCAGCACCTCCCACGGTCCATCGAGATGCGTCGCCACGGACAAGACCGCCCGACTGGCTGTTGCAATTGGTGTCTCTGGCTCGACAACGAGAAGGGGCGGCGTCGGTGGCGCGACCACATCGTAGCAACCGTACGCAAAGGCGGTCTCGGAGGTCGTTTGCAGAAGCGATAGGAACGCCGTCGACTCGCGTCCCTCGTATTCAATAACGATCGGCGGAGAAGGGTCGTTCCATACCCGTGCATAGAGCTAGTCGCTAAGTGAGTCTCTCAACGATAGGCGGCTCGTCGTCGTGTACATACCTCGCGAATCTCATGCTCCATTGGGCCGACTTGCGATGTCTCAGCGGTCGCGCCGCACCATACATGCACGGCTTCCGGCAAGCAGTAGGCTAAAAGGGCCTTGGTATGGCGCTCGACTTGAGTCGGGCGAGCGGCGCGGCGCGAGTTGGGCACATGGCACGCGGTGAGCACCCATGTATGAGCATCGTGGGCGCCGTGGGGGCCGAAGCAATAGACGGGCGGGCGCTTGCTGCGATCGGTGCGGTACGTCTCGAGCTCAAGCAGCTGACAGAGGAAGCCCGGGTTCGGGCTGCAAATCGGTCGGGCCGCTTTCACTGTCGCAAAGGCGTCGGCGTACGAAAGGCCTTCGTTGCACATGAGCGCTGCGATCGCAAACGAGCAGGACCGCGACACTCCTTGTTGGCAGAGCAGCACGACGACGCCGGCGTCGGCCATGGCCGCGAGCACGCGCGGCAAGAACGGCAATAGCTCCTGGCTGGGCCCGTCCCGCAGCGCCAACGACAAGATGGGCCGGACATGTGCCGGCGGTACGCAGTCGTCAGGAAAGAGAGCTTCGCGCGCGCAGTTGATCAGTGCGTAGTCGCCTGCCGTCGGCCATTGCGCGCGATGTCCGGCGATCAAAAGGTGCGGCCGGACCATCGAGAGCTGCGGCGCGGCCTGCGCGAGCTTGGCTGCCCGAGAGAGTGCTCCGTCCTCCGTCTCGCCAACGACCGACGTCCGTGGCGCCTTGGGGATCGCCGGGGTGGATGGAACCACGGAGAATGGGGCCGTGTCCGTGACCGGCGCCGACTGCGTACCCCCCATCGAATCGCACGTAACGTTCCAAGTGGCCGTTGCCGTCGTTGGATCACGTCGCCGACGACGTGTATATACTTGCCACGCCGTGTGCTTCTCGAGCCTCTCGACGTATTGCATTCGTATCCTCTCTGTCTCTCCGTCGCTGGCTCTTGGAAGGTGTCGTAGTACAGCAGTGCAGTCGCATGTTAGTGGCCAACGAGGTCGGGCCACCGGACGCTGCCACGTATTATATCTATATTCTATCTTTAGATGTCACTGAAAGAAACAGGATTCGAAAATTGATTTTGCGACCGTCGAGCAGACATGCGCTGCCTCGTCGTCGCCGTCGTCGCCTCGGTTGCTAGCGCCCGCGCTGCGTGCGCGCCAGTCTCGAGCTACCTCTCGTCCTACGATATCCAGCGCGGCGTCGCGGTCGTCGCCGACCCGGCCGGCTGCGGTCTCGACCCGCGCCCGACCGACTGTGTCGACACGCAGTGCCGCAAGTGCTGGATGTACAACACGACGTCGTTCGCGCCGACGCCATACGTAGTCTGCCCGCGCGCCATGTTGCCGGAGGTGCGCCGACCCGAGAGCATCTCGTGCACGTCCTTCTTGTTGCCATCCGAAAGTAGTACAAGCACCGTCTCGGCCGTCTACGATGCATCGTGCACGTTGTATGGCGGCCACGGGTGTCTGCCCGACTTTGTTCCGTGCCGCCGGTGCAGTACCTACCCGACGCCGTCGTCGCGCTACTGGCCGTGCGGCCTCGACGCCGCCATCTGCGACAACAACACAGGACTGGCGCGGGTGCTTGGTCTCGTCGATGCCTCTTGCTTGACGCAGCCCAACCTACCAGGATGCACATTCCGGTCGCACTGTCGGCGCTGTCGCTTGCAAAAGCTGGTGACCAACGCCCACTTGCCCGACTGCGCGGTGCTCTATCTGCTGGCAACGCCGTTGGAAGCGTCGGTCTCGCGCTGGTCCGCGCTGCAGACCGACCTCGGTGCGCTGCCAGATGGCGCAGCGCAGTTTTCAGAGACAAACGCAGCGGCCTTTGCCCAGGACGTCGGATACTACGTCCTCGTGGGCTCGCTTGTGGTCGGCGGCGCCACGATCGCCATCGGACTTATCGTTTTCGTCGTCTGCGCCAAGCGCCGCCGCCGCGCAACCACATCGCCGATCGTCGTGCAGCCCATGGTCGACGACGACATCGTAGCGGACAAGGCCCACCGTATCTGAGCACCGTAGCGACCACGACGCTGTGAGAGGTCAAGGATGTACTCGTGGTCGAGCGCTTGTAGGCCTTGTGGAGTGTATGTCTCTCTTCCTTCTCGACGTCATCAAGGGTGCTGCATTTGACGTGCATGTGTTTGCGGAATGCACATCAAAACCAGTTCTTAGCGTGGGATGGAGGTCGAAGCCGCAACAGCACACACTCGTTCAATTGTAGCAGCCTCGTTGTCGACAGAGTCGATGGTCTCGTCGTCGACAGGTGTCGTCGGTTCTATCTACTGAATCGTCCAAAAATGGATGGCCAGGAGCGCCGCTGCAACGCTCGCGTCTTGTGGGACGCCATTGCCTACGAGCACGTGGCTCAGTTGGATCGCGTCGGCGTGGGCCGCCGCCTGGTCGCCCAGCTTCAAGTGGGCCTTGGCCCGTAGACAGAGTGCGTTGACATCGTTTGGCGCACGCTGAAGGAGCTGCGTCGTGTACTTGATCGTGCTCTCGACTTCGTAGAGGCAAAATGCAGCCTTGGCGAGAATGGACAGCACTGCGATGTGGTCGACAGAGTCGGACGCCAGCGCTTCCTTTCCGAGACGCAGCGCGCGCTCGTACTGATGCGCGGCAATCGCAGCGTCAAGTGCCGAGCCTATGGTGCGTACGATGAAGCGAGGGTGCTACATGGACACAAACCGGTCGAAGTCGCATTTTGCAAAAGCCATTGGACCGAGGCGTAGTAGTCGCGGTGGTACTTGAGCTGCAGGTCGTTGTGGCCGGCGCGGGGAAAGAGCTGGAGCTTCTTGACCGAGGCGGCACATGCTTCGTAGAGGTCTCGACCTTGCTGCACTATGAAGCATGAAAATTAAGCGTTGCGCTTGGATTTGTCAAGGGAACCTGGCGCGATCTCGTCGTCCTCGCCGTGGATGACAAGGAAGGGGAGGTGGAGCGACTGGAGCTTTTGGCGAATGTGAAAGATCTCGGGCAGCATCTGCAGCATGGCGGCGCCACCAGGCATGAAGTTGGCCATTTGCGCGACCATGGGCAGTGCCAAAATCGAGTGGAAGCCCGACTCGACGATGAGGCCGCGGTACCGCGTCGGCGCCTTGGCCGCCACGTGCATCGCGCAGAGCGACCCAATGGACCTAGTCGGACAGTGAAGTGACCGAGGCGAGCCATGTCGTACCGGCCAAACAAGACAAGGGGCACGTCCGGCTTGAGCAATGGCACCGTGTGGAGCAAGCGGTCGACGACCTCGGCGTCCTCGAGAAGGCGCGTCACCGAAGGCTCGCCGGAGCTCCAGCCGTAGCCGCGAAAGTCAACTGCAAGGAGCGCTGTCGGTACCTCCATGGCGGCGAGCGTCGTGGCGGCCGACGCGTAGTCGGCGGCGATCTCGGCGTTGCCGTGGAAGAGCACGACCACCGCGCTGTAGGCATCGGGCTGCGGCGGGCGGAAGAAGCGGTAGCCGAGCGACACGTGGCCATCGGTAAAGACGCCGTCGATGGCATGCGGCGGGAGGTCGGCGCCATGCGCGTGGCGGCGCGGGTGGAAGGCCACCGAGTTGACGAGCGGCGAATCCCAGAGCGAGGTCATGTCCGCGCGTTCTGTTAAGTGCGCCTCCAGGATTCAACCATCACTCTAGGAATACAAGACAATAAAAGACAATAAAAGAATATTAAATCGGGACCACGTTAGCAAGCCCAACGCCCCAAGCAACACAGGAGGATGCAATGGAGTAGCTCCTGCGCCCAAAGACGCTCAGCGTAGTACAGCAGCGGCGATGGACTCTCCAAATATATAGAGATGGCAATAGGTTCGCCGTGCACAACCTACATGACCCGCGGTGGCAACTACCGACAACTTTGACACGTGGTGTGTCCGAGTTCTCCAGTGCGCTAGAATGCCTACTAAGAACCATATATGACTAAGAACTAGACAATCTATTCACAAAATATAGCTTGCTAGCTATTTCCAACGTCTGGTTTTGGAAACGCTTTCGATCAAGCAACTGCCATGAGCTCCCGTCGGACGCCGGCCCCAACGCCAACGCCGACACCATACCTCGGATCGACCATCTCGCCAGGGTCCGGCTTCAACAGCAGTAGTATCAATCCCAATTCGACCAGCAGCAGCAGCAGCAGCAGCAATGGCGATGCCAGTGGGCTCATTATCGGGCTCGTGGTGGCTCTGGTCGTCCTTCTGTTTCTCGCCTTGCTTCTGCGCAAGTCGATTTACGTCGTCCAACAAGCCGAAGGTAACCATGACCGACAAGGTGTGAGTACGACCTGATGTCTCTCAATCGATATGCAGGCATTGTCATTGAGCGCTTTGGCGGCTACCACAAGCTCCTCGACTCGGGCATCCACTTTATCGTATCTACTAGCGTTCTCGTCTTTCGACTAACTAATCGATGCGGGCATTTGCGCAGGTGCCCCTCATCGACTCGCCGCGCATGTTTTCGTGGAAGCGCGTCGTCAAGCGCAATGGCCGCATGGAGACACACGAGTATGCTATTCTCTCGCAATTCTGTCGCGCATATGACCGCTGCTAGTGACCAGCAGTACCGCATTGATTTACGCGAGAGCGTCTTTGCCTTTCCGAGCCAAGAGGTCGTCCAACCGACCTTAAACCAAATGCACTATATCGACACCAACACTGCGACTAGGTCTACACGCGAGACACGATCCTCCTCGACGTCAACTCGATCATGTTTTTCCGCATCGTCGACGTGCGCAAGGTGCGACCTCGATATCTGCAACGCGTTGTACGAATCGGAGACTAGGCCGTCTACGAGATCGACGACCTTAGCTCGGCGATCGCCAACGTCGCGCAGACGCAGCTGAAGGAGGTCTTTGGCAACATGACGTTTACCGAGGCGCTGGCGTCCCAGAGCGTCATCAACGCCCACATCCAGCACACCTTTGGCGACCGGTTCGCGCAGTGGGGCTTGTGGTAATAAGATGATTGACACGAAGGGGTATAAGAACAAAATCTTATACCCTGGATTCACCAACTGCAACAAAATCGATGATACGGGGCTACCGTAGGTCGAGCGACTCGAAGTCGTCGATATGCTCCCCAAGCCCGGGACGACGATTGCCGATGCGATGAAGCGCCAAATGATTGCCGAGCGCACGCGCCGCGCGGAATTTATCCACGCCGAGGTAATCGCCATCTCAATCTGAATCTCAACAAATTCAGAGACGCATTACTAGGGTCGCAAAGCCGCGATGCGGCTCATGTCGGAAGGGACCAAGCTTCAAAAATATAACCTTGGTGTCGCCGAGCAAGAAGCCACGCGCAAAACGTACGTCGCAAAAATTGATTGCTTGATACCTTGATACCATACGACGCATACTAGGTCCGAGGGCTTGGCCGGCGCCAAGGTCGAGCTCGCGCGCGCCGAGTCCAAATCGCTCGAGCTCATCGGCGCGGCCTTCTCAGCCGACGGCGCGTCGCAGACCGAGTACGTCATTTCGCAGCGCTACATGGAGATGCTCCAAACCATGTGCGTCACCCTCGACAAGAAATCGCTCTTCTTCCCATACGAGACCAAGGGCCTCTCGGGGCTCATTGGCGACCTCCGGCATGTCTACGGCTACAACAAGGTACGATCCTATCATCTTCCGTCGTAGGCGACTGGAAATTCTCTGGACAGGGCACGCAAGCTCGGGCGCGACGCCAAGTTCGCGCCTTTGATGCCCTCGACTAGCTTCTACCATGGCGGCGACGTCATGCATACGAGTCCTCTACATGCTTCATGTGAGTGCGTGTGTATTTTCTAACGTTGCGGTTCCTGTTCCTGGCGCTGCCACGTAGTACTAGAAGAGAACGAGGGTAGTGAGATGCTAGAGGGCGTTGTACGGGCCTCGGGCGCGCAGCGACCAGACAAAGCCGAGAGCGTCCAGCGTCGCGACGCGCTGCGCGGCGGCGGGCCCGGCCCAGTGCTGGGCGCGGGCGCGGAGGTTCTTGACCATGTGGCCGACGTGCACGCCGCAGAGATCGCGCGGCCAGCGCACGTCGTGGACGGGTACGACGAACTTCTGCGGCACGCGGAGGTGGCCGTAGAGCGCTCGGAAGATGCGCAGAACACGCATCGTGACGGCCCACTGCGCGTTCTGAGCGGGCGAGAAGACGACGTTGTGCGGCCGTTGCCGTCGGGGGCGTGGCGGCTCTGGCGCTGGCAAGAGCACGCGCGCACGGCTGACGATCGGTAGCGGCGGCACCTGGCCCTCGACGATCCACGCCGCCGTCGTCGCGCTGCTTGCTCCTGGCTCAGCGTGCATCGCTCGACGAAGTGTCGAATTCGACGCGCTGATTCTGGCTGGATCTCGCTGCCCTCTGCAACACCGACTGCAACACCGACTGCAACACCGACTGCAACACTGGCGCTAGCATTCGACTGCCTGCATCTTCTTGACCGCAGTCCACGCCGCTAGGTGGGCATTGGATAGATGTGCTGTGCTAGAGAAGGCGCGAAATTAATGACGTGGCAGGCCGTCAGCACATCCCTGATGTCTGAAATCGCGCATGTCTCCAATGGACTGGTAAGCTGTCGATAGCTGGATAGCTGGATAGATAGATACTAGTAGTTTGGTGGATAGATAGATGTGGACGAGTGTGATGCTGGTCGGTCGGCCTTCGCTGCCTACCGACGACGGATAAAAGAACAAGGGACCCACGACAAAAGACCGCGTCCAGATTAAAAGAAATGAAATCTGTATTAAAAAACACACTATTGCATTAAAAGAAAACAATAATAAATAAAAGAATACCATATTGGATTAAAAGAACACGCCGGTCGCTTTGCCGCGGACTGGTTTTGGCGCCAGATTGGCCGAACTCCATATGTTCGGATATCGACTTTAAGAGGTCGCCATCGTATTCCCATCTTGGCCCGAGGAAGCGCAGGAGCATGCACATCCAGAGCGTCGTCGTCGCGGGCTTCCGCAGCTACAAGGATGAGACCGGCGTCGAGAGCTTCTCGCCAGCGCAGAACGTGGTCATCGGCCGCAACGGGACGGGGAAGAGCAACCTCTTTGATGCGATCCGCTTCGGGCTCCTCACCGAGCGCTTCGCCAACCTCCGCCCGGACGACCGGCAAGGTCTGCTCCATGAAGGTAGCGGGAAGCACGTCATGAGCGCGTACGTCGAGATCACGTTCTGCAACCGCGATGGCCGGCTGCCGCTCGACACGGACGAGGTCGTGCTTCGCCGCACGATTGGCGTCAAGAAGGACGAGTTCTTCCTCAACCGCAAGCACATCACCAAGCAAGATGTGCATCATCTGCTCGAGACGGCAGGCTTCTCGCGCTCGAACCCGTACTACATTGTGCAGCAAGGCAAGGTGAACGCGCTCGCACTCATGAAGGACCGCGACCGCCTCGAGCTCCTTAAAGACGTTGCCGGCACCAAGGTCTATGAAGACCGGCGCGTCGAGTCGCTCAAAATCATTCACGACTCGCAAGGTCGGCGCGACAAGATCCTCGAGGTCATCTCGTACATTGAGAGCCGCCTCGCCGAGCTTGAAGACGAGAAGGACGAGTTGAAGGAGTACCAGTCGCTTGATAAGGAGAAGCGCGCGCTCGAGTACATGCTCCACGAGAAGGAGCTCCAGGACGTGCGCATCGAGCTCGAAGCCATCGAGCGCCAACGCTCCGAGGATGCCACCGCATCGACGGACCTCCATGCGGAGGAGCGGACCTTGAAGGACCAGCTCAAGCAGATCCAAGACTCGGTGCAGCGCCATACCGAGAAGCTCCAAGACTGGACCAGCGACAAGGTTCGCTTGGAGGCCGAGCGCGCCGAGCTCATGCAGGCGCAGTACGAGCTCGAAATGGAGCTCCAGGACCTCAACGACGACGTCGACCAAGACTCGTCCCGGGGCGCGACGCTCAAAACCGAGCTTGCAACGATCCAAGCGCAGTGCCAAGCAGCGGAAACCGAGCTCGCCGAGTGGACGCCCAAGCTCAACGACCTCTCGCAGCTGCTCGCCAACACTCGCTCGACGCTCGCGACGCTCGAGCTCGAAGCCGACGCGCTCATCGCGAAGAAGTCGCGCAAGGCGCAGTTCTCGTCGCAGGCCGACCGCGATGCGTACCTTCGCCACGAGGTGGACGACCTCGTCGGGCTCGTCCACCGAAAAGAGAAGGAAGCGCACCATTTGCAGACCTCGATCTCGACGGCCAACGCTACCATCGCACAGGCCAAAGACTCGCTCCAAGATCGGTCGGTGGCGATGGCCGAGGCGCGCGCCGAGCTCGACGGTTTTGGCCGACGCCTTGTCGAGCTCAAGGAGAAGCGCAACGACGTGTCGGAGACGCGCAAGGATCGCTGGCGCGACGAGAACAAAATCAGCCAAGACGTCACGCACCACGCCGAGCAGCTCTCGCGCGGCGAGTCGATTCTGCACAGCACCATGTCGTACGACGTGCGCCGCGGCCTCGAAGCGGTCAAGGGCTGGAAAGAGTCGCAGCGCTTCCGTGGGATTCATGGCCCCTTGATTGAGCTCGTCGAGCCCGTCGACGACCGGTTTTGCGTCGCCCTCGACGAAGCCGCTGGCGGCGCGTACTTTCACGTGGTCGTCGACACGGACGACGTCGCGACGCGGCTCATGCGCGAGCTCGAGAAGCACAACTTGGGGCGCGTGACCTTCTTACCGCTCAACCGGCTCAAGGTCAGCGACGTCCCCGCGTTTGACGCGACCGACGACGCCGTCTTGCTCCTCGACAAGCTGCGGTATCCGAGTGAAATCAAAAAGGCCGTCGTGTCGGCCTTTGGGAAGAAGCTCTTGTGTCGCGACCTCGACACGTGCATGCAGTACGCCGAGAAGACGGGCATGGACTGCTTGACGCTCGACGGCGACGTGGTCCAGCGCCGCGGTGGCTTGCACGGCGGGTACAAGGACCCCAAACGGTCGCGGTCGCGCGCGATGCTCCAAGTACGGGCGGCCCAAGCGCAGCTCGACGCGATCAAGGCCGAGGCCAAAAAGATTAAGTACGCGGCGCAACAAGCCGACCAAATGGTCGCGGGTGTCGTCGGGGAGATCCAAAAGCAAGAGTCGGAGCGGCAGTACGCGATGGACACGTATGGCCAGCTCCAGCAGGACTACGACCGCCTCGTGCAGCAGATCCAGATCGACACGGCGCATGTGATGGAAAAGACGGCGCTTCTCACAACGATCCAGTCGGAAATCACGTCGCTGACGGCCAAGCGCGTCGCGTTCGAAGCCGAGATGGCGCAAGCGATGGGCGACTCGTTGTCGCCGGCGGAGACGGATCGCCTCGCGGCCATCCACGTCCAGATCGCCGAAGTCAAGTCGCACGAGCGCCAGTACGTGGGCCAGGTCGAGGACGTGCGCGTTCAAACCGCGACGCTCGAGACACGGCTCCACGACCATTTGCGTCGCCGCGAGAGTGAAATCCTGAGCCAAATCAAGGACGGAAGTCTCGTGGCGTTGCACGCGACCGAGCGCAAGACGTCGGCGGGGATGAAGGCCGTCGACTTGGCCAACGCCAAGCGCGCCGTCGAGCGCAACCACGTGCTCTACACGGACGTCGAGGCTCAGATCCGAGCGTGCGAAGTCGCCCTCGCGTCCGACGAGATGGCCGCGGAAGAGATCCAAAACGACCTCCAAGCGATTCTCGCACAGCTCGGCGACGAAGCGACGCGTGGGGAGAAGATGCTCGCCAAGCGCCGACGGCTCCTCCAGAAGCGCGAAGCCGCCACGCGCGACATTCGCGAGCTGGGGACGCTGCCCATGTCGGAGCTCGAAAAGTTAAAAGAGCTGAGCTACAAGGAGGTCTCGAAGCGCTTCTCCAAATGCAGCGACCGTCTCAAGGGCTTCTCGCACGTCAACAAGAAGGCGCTCGACCAGTACGTGAGTTTTAGCGAGCAGCGCACCACGCTCCTTGCGCGCAAGGCCGAGCTCGATGCGGGCGATGCGTCGATCAAGGAGCTCATTGACGTGCTCGACCGCCGCAAGGACGAGGCGATCCTGCGCACGTTCAAGGGCGTGTCGCACCACTTTTCGCAGGTTTTCAAAGAGCTCGTGCCGACGGGCGAAGGCAAGATGCTCATCCAGCGAGCGGACGACGCGACCACGATGGACACATCGACGTTTGTCGGCGTCCAGATCAAGGTCAACTTTCGCGGCGAAGGCGACTCGTACCTCATGCAGCAGCTCTCGGGCGGCCAGAAGGCGCTTGTGGCCCTCGCCTTTATCTTTGCGATCCAGCGCTGCGACCCAGCGCCGTTCTACCTCTTTGACGAGATTGACCAAGCGCTTGATGCGACGCACCGCGCGGCGGTGGCGGCGCTCATCCACCGCCAAGCCCACTCGGAGGAAAACCCGGCCCAGGTACCACACGCGATATGATGTTTGTATCCAGTTTATCGTTGTTACGAATCGCGGATGTAGTTTATCACATCGACGTTCCGGCCCGAGCTCGTGATGGTCGCGGACCAGTTCTACGGCATTGGCCACCAAAACAAGATCAGCACCGTCTACACCATGACGAAGGACGAGTCGCTCGACTTCATCGCGGACATCATGGCCGACGAGGAAGCCGTCGAAGAAAAGACCAACGATGCTGCTGCGTAGCAACAGGATTCGTGATGCCTCTCGTGTCGTCCTACTTGTCCGACCGACTGCAGAGCAGACGTTTGAGCCGTTTGGCGTTGCACCCGCGTCATCCGGGCACGTTGGCGTGAATCTGGCGAGCACAACAAGCGCATAGCGAGAACACCGTGGGAGACGGGTGTGTCATCGTCGCGTCGTCGTACATGAAGCGGTACGATCGCAGTCGTCGGCGTCGAATCATCGGGCGCTTCCGCGCGATCTTTGGATCCATGCCACCAGACAACGCGAGCTTTGGTAGAAGTTTCGCCCATCTTGATCCACGAGTGCACAATGTCATCGACATGCAGGATCCTCATGGGTTGGCTGCTGCGACTTGATACCTTGATACTCGTTGGCAGCGAATTGGGCTTAAGAGATGGTTCTATAGGTCTCCTGTCTATTTATCCCCAAAAGACTAGAGGTATCAAAACATTGCATAAAACATTTGTGTGTAGCGAGAGTGCTGTCCTTGCTAGGAGGTCTACGTACGGAGTGCACGCAGCTCGAAAGGCGTTGTCGACTACAAGTACCACTTTATGGTCCGCTCGTGGGCTCTCGTTGGCGACTTTAGCGACAAGTGGGCTTTCTAACCGACTATATCTTTGGGCCGATGAGCAGCCTCGCCCTCGCGTACGCAGCCTTCTGCCACAAGAAGACGACCGAGCCGATCCCCGAGGCCAAGACGATCTTCGAGTTCGCTAGCTCCATGGCCATGGACATGGTGCCATGCCATCTCGCGTAGGAAACACGGAGTGCATCTGCATGTCGACAACCTCGACCCGGAAGAGGTAGTACGACGCAGGCGCTCGCGACATGGCCTGATCGCGGCCTAGCTGCGCGTGCTCTTTGACTTTATTGCCAAGACGACGACGCTCCAGCATGCGCGCATCTTTCTCGGGCGCGTGCCCATGAAGCGAGGTACGAAGCACGACAACGACGAGAGGATGCAGGTGGGATCATCTGATCGACGTAGCGCTGCGCACCAAGCTCCTGCGCATGGGCTTGGACGAGCCATATGCGATGCAGCCTCTTGGGCACATGCGCATCGTGCGTAGCCTCAGCTCGATGCTCTTGCATGCCACGAGCCTCGTGTCGCTGGACCTCGTTGGCGTCCCGATTGCGAGCGAGACGGTCCAGGACCTCGCCAAGGTGGCTTCTATCTTCTTTGCACGCATGGTACTACGATTTCGATGCTACATGCAGGGGCTCAAGGCAGCGACGACGCTCGTCTCCATCGACCTCTCCGAGTCCAAGCTCGGCGACGCCGGCCTCGATCGTACGCCACGTCGTCGTCATCGTCATGATGAAGCAGCTTTCGGTAGAGCTCGAGGACGCATTGGCGACGCAGCCCCAGCTGTTGCACTTGAGTTTGGCGTCGTGCGAGCTCAGCGACAAGAGCGCCCGCGCCCTCTCGCGCATCCTTCGCGTACTCGCGTCCACATGTCGTCCGCGAATCCTCTCTTCAAAGCGAACTATTGTAGGTGCAGTGCCAGCGTCGCGACGAGACGTATTGGAGCACGACGCTGCGCGGCCAGACAACACCCATCCAGGGCGAGGGCTGCATGCTCCTCAGCGTCGCCTCCAATGCACTCGGCGATGCGACGACCGAGGTGCTCTGCCAAGCTCTCTACAACGACAACTGGCTCTACGGCCTCAACTTGGCCGCCAATGCAATCGGACCCCGGGGTGTATTGAACCTTGCCGAGGCGCTCCAAACCAACAGCACCTTGACGGTGCTTGTGCTCCGTGGCAACAGCGCGGCCGGTAGGTCGCGACCCGGGGCACACGCATCTGTGGCTGATCCTCGTCCTTGGGGTAGACGCCCGCGTCACGACGTTTGTGGACCGGATGCTCCAGGACCGCGTCGAGCGCGCCACGTCATCGATGCACCACCCCATGGAGCACCCGCTGCTCAAACGTGTGCTGCAGCAGTGGCGGGGTCCAGCTTCCGTGGTCCCCCCCGTCGCGCGCAAAAAAGTGCATCGCCGCCCGCCGTCGCCGCCCATGCCGTCGCCGTCGCCGTTGCGGCCACCACCGGCGCCGACACCGGTGCGCAGACCCCTCGTGGCGCGCAAGGTCACCTCGATCTACGCCAACACAGTGCGTCCCATAGAGCCTCCAGTCTTCGTTCCATACAGCGACCTCTAGAATGGGAAATCAAAGCAGAAGAAAAAGAAGACGACGACAACCAAAGCCAGCGCTGGGATCCTCCGCAAGGAACCGCTTCACCCGTCGCCAAGTCTGCCCCCGCCACCGCCAGGCATCGGGGCCGCGGAAGCTTCGGCGCTCGACTTGCTCGTGGGGGCAACAAGTCCGGGCTTTCTGCGCTCGAACCAAGACGACACGGCACCGCCGCCCACGGCGCTGGACCCTCGCACGGTAGAGTTGTCGTCGCATGTGTTGCTGCGACTGTTGTCGTTGTAGTTTGCTAAGTTGATGGCCAAGATCGAAGCCCTCGAAGCCGCGCAGGCGAGTGCGCAAGCCCACATTGATCGCCTCGAGGTATGCTATATCCTAGTTCCTGCCGGCCTCCATAATGCAATTGAATGCGATCCAGGCCGACAACCAACGCCTCAAGCAGCAGCAGCAAAAGGCACGCCGGCCGTCGGTCGAGGCGAGCATCATCTCGGAGCTCGAAGCCGCCATCATTCGCTTGACGCAGCAGGTGCAGTACCTCGAAGCGGTGCGGGACGAGCAGCCACGTGCAATGCCCCACGACGTGGCGTCGAAACTACCCGACGCAATTGTGGACGATTTGGCTGCACAGCTCAAGCTCAGCTTTGGATTAACACCCTAGTCGATGGTATGTATCTACATGGCATCCTCGAGCGGCGAGGGTTGGGGGAACCTAATCATGTCCCAACCGTTAGATTTCTTAAGAAGAAGAAAATGGACGCACCGAAAGTCGGGGTTGGGTAGAAACTCGTCGCCGACCCACGTGAACGAGATGCAGTGCGCCGAGAGCCACTGGCGCATCGCGGCCTTTTGCTGGCCCGTGCCCTGGAGGCCATCCACGTGGTCGCGGAAGAGGTCGTTGGTGACGACGCAGCCGTCATGGCGCCCGGCGTACTGAATGCAGTACGAGTCGTCATAGTCTTGGGGCGGCGTCGCAATCACGGTCCCTTCGAGCACCATGCTCTGGAGCAAGCCCACATCGTCCGGGAGCTTGCTCGGACTCACGTCGTAGCCCGCGCCGGCCATGCGCTTCTGCGCGCCCACCGACTCGTAGCGGAGGAGGTAGTCGGGCAAGAACGCCAGCACTTTGTGGCCGCGCGCCAAGTAATAGTCAAAGACAAGCCGAATGCCTGCGCACGAGAAGCGGGCGTTGAGACCGTGCCGCATGGCCACGTTGGCCGCGTCGACGACGATGAGGCACTTGGGGTCGTTCGGAGACGCGTACCCGCAGCCGCCAAAGGTCGGGACCGGCCGTTGGCGCAGCTGCGACGGTCGCTTCGGTTTGGTCGGTTTGGCGACATTAAGGTTGACGTTGGCGAGGACGCCACGACCTGGCGTGAGCGCACGGGCAGAGACCCGCGGCGCGACATCCGCTTCGTCGCTTTCGTAGCCGCAAAACCCGCATGGCAAGCGCACGATCGAGTTGGAGCACTGCGGGCAGAGTCGGTCGACAGCCGTCACGACCGAGAGAGACGGCGGCACCCGCGGTAGGACCACCGGCCGCATCCAGTCGAGGTCCGTCGCGAAGTCGACAAAGCCCAGGGCGCGCGCCACGTAGAGCGACAACGGCGCGTCATCCACGTCAACGAGGCGCGTGTCCGAACCGACGCGGCGGTGGAGCGCGGCCGCGCATGGGAGAAACCCGCGGAGTTCGAGATCTTCGGGCACCGGCGCCCGGTGCCCGTCCCAATGGTCGTGCAGAAGCGCATCCTTCTTAGCGTGGAGCACCGGCACGAGCTGCATTAGCGCCGCTTGAAGCTCGACGACGCTATCGTCTTTCCACTCGAAAAACCACGCGTGGCTGCGCAGCCAGTCAAGGACGATCGTGACGCTGGGCAAACATGTCTGGAGCAACGCGTCGGTCGGCGACCGCGCCATCGCGAGCAAGAGCACGCTCGTCAAGCGAAAGCTCCAGCGCAGCGCCACGTGGACGACCTCGTGGTCATGCCAGTGCCGCCACTCGGTGTCGAAGCACGGGTCTTGAATCTCGGGGTGGCCGATCGCGACCTAGACATCAGGCCATTCTGTCTCGCTACGCTGATAGATTGATAGATTGATACCTGGGTGTTGTGCACGAGAAACAACGAAAAAAGCATCGTCTGCAGCAAGAGCGACGACGTGGAGGCGCCGCCCAGCGGCACGACGGCGGCGAGCGACTCGACGCACGCGGTGAATGCGTCGGCGCGCGCAACCACATCCACGCCCGAGTAGAGGATCGATGCGCCGACCAAGAAGCGCGCCTTGAAGACGCCGAGACCGTCCAAGTCGCGGAGGTGCTTGCGGCCGGTTTCTTCGGCTTTCGAGAGCGTCGTCATCAAGTTCTCGCGCGCGCGGAACGGCGTCGTGACCGCGAGGCTGCGTGCGTAGAGGTAGCACGCTTCAAAGCTGTTGTTGTTGTGGAGCGCCAGCAGCGCGAGCTGGTTGAAGACCTTGCCGTTCGACGGCAGCTGCGAGAGCGCTTCTTTGTAGTGCACGGCGGCGAGCGCCCAGTTGCGGCTGGCCTTGGGCAAGAGACCCTGCGCGTACCGCGAGAGGTCGCCGAGCGCCACGAGCGTCGCGTGCACAGCGAGCGGCGCCGAGGACGCGGCCTGGAGCGCGCCGAGCAGCTTGTGGTAAAAGCTCGTGCACGTCGCGAGGAGCGCGGCGAGCGCATCGCGCACCGGCAGCGACGACCCGTTGGCCCGGAACGCGGCTTGCGCGCCGTCAATCTCGCGGTACCAGTTCATCCACAAGCGCTCGTTGACGTCCTAAGACAAGTGTCGTACGGGAGACGGATCGGGCGTAGATGATACCATGCGCCGCGCCACGTCCGGGTGGCGGAGCAGGAGCTCGACGTAGGCGTCGCGGCAAGCCAAGCGGAGGCAGTTGATGCCGCGCTCGTGGTCGCTGACGATCGCATACGGTTGCGGCCTAGGCCATGTGAGCGCATGCGAGGGGTGCGAGCAGCGCGTACGTCCGCGGCGCGCCGAGGAGGCGCTTCAAGTGCTCTTCCCAGCGCTTGATGCGCGGCAGGAGCTCGTCGGGCTGCACGCCCGCGGGGTTGAAGCCAAACGGGTAGCCTTCGTCGTGCGCCCGAGTCGTCGCGTGCGTTGTCGGTGAGCTACGTGCATCGCAGTGTCAATATGGACATGGGTTCAAGGCGACGCGTACGCGGTCTTGGTCGGCGGCTTGGTCTGCTTGTGCTCCTGCAAGAGCGAAAACATGACTTCGGCGCGTGAAAGCTTCTCGATCGTCTCCTTCTCGACGCGCTTGATCATGAGCGCTTGCGCGTGCTCGCGCTTCTTGCGCTCGTCCTCTGTCGTCTTGCGGTGCTTGCGCTGCTTTTGCACATGCAACTCGCGGCTCTTCCGCTGCTCGTCGATCTCGTGGCCGTCCATCGACATGGCCTCTTGCATGCGGCCAGAGAGATCGTTGTCCTTGGCCTTCTTGGACTGCTTGCCGCGGGGCGTCGGCTTCTTGGGCGCGGCCTCGGGCACGTAGAGCCGCGCGTCGTCGACTACGATCTGCCTGAGCGACTGCTCGCATGCTTCATGCGTCTACCTTTGTCCGCTGGCTTCTTACGGTATCGGCTTCGCGCGTGCGATGATGACGTTCCATCCTCCGACATCTTTCGTCATGAACCGCGGGGTGGGCAAAAGCGAATGAGCCAGCACGAGGCCATCGTTTGAGAGGGCCCCCTCGTGAACCAGGTCATACAGCAAGCAAGTCACGCGGCTGAGAATAGAGTAGGGGGCCGACCCGAGTGCTGCGGCCAACGATTGGCTAAAAATAGGCATATTTCGATCGGGACCATCCAATGAGCTACGAGAACCTTGGCGCCATGGACGACGATGCATAAAGTCGAAGCAGTGAAGTAGATGTTAAAATAATGACGCGACCTTTAGCGCCAGACAGAAACGATGAATAGTCCTCTTGGCATATTGGAGTGCAAGAACCCGTGCTACATATTTACCCATCATTTGCAGTTGTTACGATGTGGGCAATTGGGCACAAGTAGCCAAGTCAAAACTCGAAATAGGCGCAGGTAAACGATCGCTACCTCATACATAAATGGTCATGGACGTATCGAGAGGATGCTTCCACACTTGGCCTCGCAAACGCGTGCAAACTGAGAGCATTTCATAATTTGCCTGAATTTCAATCACATGGAACCAGGTCAAAACTCGAATCGATTGCAGTTCAACGCTCACCACCCCTGACCCTGGTCACAAACATGTCTGGGATGCTTTAAAAGTTGGGTTGACAAAAGCATAGTACAAATCTAGACCAATTAACGAATTTGCCCGATTTTCAACCACTTAAGTCATAGCGTAGGCTAAGTTGGTTCCCAAGGCCACCAAACGTGCCGTGGCCAACTCCACTTGCCACGTTAGATGGTGTGGAACACAGTCCTACGACAACAGTCGTTGATAGAACGCAGTGTTGACCAAGGACGATTCTACCAGGTTGACGAGGGCCGGTTGAATTGGTCTCGACACTCCTACAGACAACCAGAGTGGCTCGAACCGCTGCGACCAGCCATATCACGAAGGACCGATGGCCACGGACACAGACTGCGGCCGCTACATGCATCCAATGTAGAAAGATTGGAGCAGCCCTTTGGCATCGACGCTTCAGGTTGAACACGTTCATTTCACAAAAACGCGCATTTGAACCCTTGGTGTAGGTTCAACATCAAAACCATCAATCCCCGCGCTAGGAACGACAGTCTTGTTGACAACCGTGCGCGAGCAATCAACGATGAGACAATATTTCGCACGACATAGATTTTACCATGTTGCATGCACGATTTTGAGTTGGTTCCGAGGCTCGCACTGGCAGCTCGAGTGGCTCCGCTCTAGCTCGTGGGATGGTAGAGCCATGTCACGAAGCGTGGGTCGCCACGAATGGAGAATGCAGCACCTACATCATGCATGCCGTGCAGAGTGATCTGGACATGGCAAGTGTGCCCACGGTTCATGATTCATTTGTGCATATCGCTACGACACGCCGTGTAGCCGTCGGTGCGGGTTCCGAGCCAAAATTGTAGATGCACTTGACAGTTTTCGTGGTCTTGAAGAGAGCTACGCTCGAGCAATCGCTCAGAGAACACGATGTGGGCCAAGGTGGATTTTACCGTATTTCAAAGAGCGACTGTGTGGGCCTCGACGCTCGCACTGGCAGCTCGAGTGGCTCGGCTGACATGGCTCTACTGCCAGGAGTAAAGCTTGTCGCCGCAGCATGCCTCCAATGTAGAGTGATCTGGCGTAGTAGCCTTTTCCAATCGACGGTTGTCGATTCATTTGCTGGTGTGATGCGCTGTGCAGCTGTCGGTGTGGGCTCCGAGCGAAATTTGTAGTTGGGCATGCCACGTTAGGTGGTGTGCAATATGTTCGTATCGTTCAGAGGTCCTAGGTATCGTTGTAGTCTTGACGTTGCTACGTTGGCTAAACCCACGCAACCTAAACGAGCGGTATCCGTAGATTCCGGATAAAGACACCAGCCATGCACGAGCCGAGCGTCGTCGGGCTCGTCCAGCAGCTGCGGACGCTGGCCGAGGTAGACAAGAGGAGCCAGCGGCCAGATACCTCACGCGCCTCTACGTAGCCGACTGCGCCATGCCGCCGACTTGGCGACGTCCGTCACGCGATGGACGTCCTGCTCTTCTCGCATGTACGTCCCGGGATTGCTTGAACCTTGACGCGTGATCTCGCCGCATTAGCTCGCGACGGCCAGCGAGATCGTGGTCGCCGACATGGCCCAAGCGCACGTTCAGCGCAAGGCGTCATCTGTGGCCTACTGTCTTCGCGAGCGCGACTTGTACGACGCATGCACCGCGCGGTGCATGGTTCATCCGCATCGTGTGTAGGGCGCTCATGGCGGATGGCATCGAAGCCATCGTCGATTCCTGCCTTCATGGTACGCGCTTCATCTCGACATTCGCGTCCAGTACGACGTCTACGTACAGAGCGTCGACTGGCCGCGTCGACCATCGACATGCCGGGCGTGCTCCGCGTCCTCTTCGCGCTCGCCGGCGGACAAGACGGGACGACCTTTACCGAGTGCTGCCTCGGACCCAGAACGCTTCAAGTACACGCACTTGCATCTACGAGTACATAGATGCTATCCGAACCTCCTAGCTCCTGCGCACCCAGCCCACGATCGCCAACACGATCTCCAACCAGCGCCGCGGCGAAGCCATCGTCCAAAGCAACGTCGGGCTCATCGTCGACCCGGCCCGTCTCTTTGGTGCGACGCCCTTCTTGGCCGATGACGAAGCGTGCGTCTGCCTTGCGTCCTTTCTTATAGCCACATGCGTCGTGTCCTTTGTAGGCACACGCTGATGGCCGCGTTCACCGCCGTCCCGGGCAAGAGCGACGTGCAGAGCGACGTGTGGCGCGACCCGCCGACAGCGCCATCGTCGTCAACGCTCTTTGGCGCTCTCCACCACGCGAGCTTTCACCGGTCGGACGCGCAGCTCGAGCGCTTTCAGGTCCGTCGCCGCCTTCGCTTCCAATCGACAACGAGTAGCGTCGTTAGATCTCGATGGCGCTGCCGGCGCTCGCCGAGACGGCGCCCGACATGGTGCAGAGCGCGCTCTCGTACGTAGCCTTATCCTCCTGATCTCTTCCTTGTGTGTGCTAATGGAAACAATGCTGCGCAGGACGGGCCATGAACTTGCGCCCAAGCGGCGACAAGTGCCACAGCCAAGCCAGCATCGACCCGAGCCGAAAACGTCGTTTACTGTCTCGCCGGACGCGCCTAAGCTGCTTTTTCAAAGCAGCCGCGCACCGTACACATCGCACACGCCTCGTCGTCCGAGACGGACCTCTGGTGTCGTGCCAGCGCCGACACAGAGGCGTGTCACGGCGTGTCGGCGTGGGAAGACCTCGGTCCATATCGCTACTCGATGATGCCACGGAGCCTTCGACTCGGTCGCGACCTGTACGAAGACGATGCGTACGGTGCTCATGACGCGTTGTGCCACGTCGTCCGCGTCCGCCCCAATCGCGTCATCGAGGTTGTGGATGATGATGTATGCGCCGTTTGTTATGGACGCTCTGTAGACGGTGCTGCTGGCGCTGCAAGGGACGCCGTCGGAACTATTTGCCGTGCGGCGAGATACGATGACCATGTGCGTTGTCTCGGAAGCGCTGCGCTTGCACGGAGCGGTCTCCCGCACGCTGCGATCGCTCTTGACGGTACCGCTTCGTCTGTTCCGCAAGGCGGGTATCGATGCGATGCGGTAGACCATGGCGACGACGGCGACCTACGTCGTTCGCTTGCAAGCCCTTGCGGACGCGCTCGGCCGGCGCCAGCGGCTGGCGCTGGCCGAGTGTCTGCACACGTTCTTGGCGTCGCAGCAGGTAGTATACCCTCTCACGACGCCGTGAGCGTGTGAACGGGATGTGTAGGCATACCTTCTCCACGTCGAAGCGCCGACCGTGCTCTCGCTGCTCACTAGAACGCGCGACCTCTGCAGTTGCGCCGCAGAAATGGCGTCGGTGTTTGGCTGTGACGACGACACGCTCTGGGTCGGCGCGGTCGAGTACGCCGATGCGATTGGTCGACCCGTGCTCGACGCGCTGCCGTCGACAGACCAAGCGTTCCTGGACCATCTCTACGACCGGCTTGTGCTCGGTCAGATCTGCGCGCCACCGACAACGACGTTGTACATGTGGCTCTTCACCGCGATGAGTGCTCCGTATCTGGCGTCGATCTCGCGCGGGCTCTTCCTCGGTGATGCCGCGCCGTCGACCGACGCCAAGGACAGCGTACGTCCCGAGGTATATGCCAACGAAGCTTTAGCGGCCATGGCAAACTAGCTCTTGCCGCGCTGCTTTGCCAAGCACGACGGGTGGGTCGACGCGGTTGCCGAGTCCCGCTCGCTCCTCCGGCTCGTGCACGCCATGGCGCCAACGCTCCATGCCCTACTGACGGTACGTGACGTTGGATGAAGATACGGTCGCGTCCTCAGAGAGGAAGCGGCGTAGGCGTCGTGGGAGCCACTGCGCATCGAGACGAGTGTCGTTGCGATTCAAGCGGCCCAAGCACGCCATGTTGCCCACTTGAATGCGTGCAAAAGTCGTGTGGCGACGCTCAAGCAGGCGCGACTGCAGGCGCTCGCCGATGCTATCGTCGCCATGCAGCGCGCGCCGCGCGACGTAAGCACCAAGACATCGGCCTTGGATGTACGCACCAAACATCATCCATGGTATTTGTCGATTGAGCCTGTTTAGGACGCCCTGCGCCACAAGCAGCTGGTCAAGGCGCGCCAAAAGCTCCAAAAAGAGTTGCTGGATGCTCAGATCGCAGCCGACGCGGCGCTGGCGCGTGCATCGGCCGCCAAAGTACAAGCAGAAGACGCAGCCGTCGCCGACGCGCAAGCCGCCCGTGACGCCGCCAAGCTCGCGCACGACAAGGACGCCATCGTCGCCATGTACGATGTGGTGGTGGTACGGGACGATTGAATATGGTTTATGTAGCTACGCAGATCTGATGGAGCGCGCCGAGCATCGCCACCGCGTCCAGCTCTGGCGACAAGCACGACTGGCTCGCAAGCACGTCGCAGGTCTCCAGCTCGATGCGCTCTTCAACGCGGACGCTGCTGCGTGGCTGCAAGGTACGTGGCGCCTCGCGCACGGTTTGTACGAAGCGATTCGGTAGCCTCGGCCAAGCAAGGTGCACACATCACGAAGAGTGCAGCACTGCAGCGACCCTATGACGTGCTGCTTGCTGCAACTACACGAACCCAAGACAGCAGCAGTGACGAGATCGTTGGTGGTCCAAACGCGCACGTCAAGGCACTGGAGTCGCCTCGTGGGCCCAGCGACAGTCGGGTCGTTTCCCTAAAGGGCGAGACGACGGCAAGTGCAGCGAGCTCGGTGCGGGTCTTGCGGGCGCCGGGCGGCGGCGGCGATGACGCGCGGCACGTCATCTATGGCAACTGCGACGACGACGAAGCGCTCGCTGCATCGTTTGCGCATGTTCGGGTGCAGCAAGCGCCCGGCGGAGGCGGCGACCAAGCCGCCGAGGCCATCTACCGAGGCGACCACGCGGTCGACCATCCATTGGCGACCAATATCAAGGTGCTCCACGTCCCGGGTGGCGGTGGTGACGCGGTCGCGACCGCCATGTACGATGGTGCCAATGCAGTGTGCGACGATCTGTCGTCGGTGCGCGTGTTACGAGAGCCCGGTGGCGGTGGCGCCGACGTTGCCGATGCCATTTACGGCACCGAGGCCGCCCCAACCGCCGTTGTTCCGGGTATCAAGGTGCTGCACGCACCCGGCGGTGGCGGCCATGACGCGGCGGCGCTTCTCTACCATCGTACGACGGAGACCGACGCGACGCTACCGCTGCGATCCACTGTCAAAGTCTCTCAAGAGCCGGGCGGCAGCGGCTCGGATGTTTGGCACATGCTCTACGCCGGCGCGACCGAGATGACGTACCATCCGAGTGTCCGCGTGCTCTCGTCGGCGCCTGGCGGCATCAGTGACGGCATGGCCAATGTGCTCGACGCCACGCGTTGCCATGACGACGATCTGTCATCATCCGTGCGCAGTCAGGTGCGCGTGCAGCAGGCACCGGGCGGGGACGGCAACGACGTCGCCGACACGCTCTACGCCCAGTTCAAATCCCTTTCAACGGTCAAGTCGAGCGTCCGCCTCTTGCAACCGGCGGGCGGCGGCAAAGACTCGGTCGGCGCGCTGCTGCGTGGCCCAGACGACGACGTCGTCGTCGTCGATCGTCGGCATTGTCCGTCCGTGCCAGAGACAACGGACCAAGTGCCTCGGACGTCCCGCCAGTGGCTGCAATGGAAGCTCGCGCAGGCGTCGATGGCGCAAGCGTACGCGAGCACGGAGCTTCTGCCGCGCACGGTCGCTCCCCTCGAGATGGCGGCGATGGCTACCTTTTACACGCAGCTGCTCGGCCACGAGGTAGTACAAGGCTCGATCGAAAATGCGGAAAACGCTGGAAAAATCGTGTCTAGCCCGACGCGTTTGCCCCCATCGACACGTTGGTTGTTGCGAGCCTCGATGCACCGATCCGCGGGTTCCGGGCGCTCGTCGGCTCCGTCGCCCTTGACGCCCTCCGTGACGACATGCGGCTACTCGACCACCTCGCGACGCTCCATGAAACCATGCTGCTCTCGGGCGGTACGTGCTTCGAGCCTCGGTGGCGTCGATGTCCATCGATGGTGTGCTAGGTCTTTGGGTCGACATGTTTGTCAAAGTCGTCGTGGACGGTCTCGCGCGGTCCAAGGTGCACTCGAATGACGCGCTCAACGACGCCATGGCGAGTGCGATGACCGAGGCGTCGTACACGCCGCGGGTGCCAAGTCGCTTTGCCTACGCGCCGTCGTCACGTACGTCTCCCTCGTTAAAGACAATAGTGTCCATACAACCACGTGCACTAGTGCAGCATGCGATGTCGGTTGCGTCCTTTGTGACGTCGCTGACGCCAACGTATGGTCTCCCCGATGCCCTCGCGCTCGTTGTGCCCGCGTCGGTCGTCGCGCAGTATGTCGCGATCCACCGGTTTGTCTTCCAGCTCAAAGCGACGCTCGCGCAGCTCCACGACGCACGTCGCCGGTTGCGCTGGCTGCTCACGCGCGTGCAGCTGGCAACGCACGCGCGCCGGGCGATCGACCGGGCGCTCTACTGCCAGCACCACGTGGCGTCGACCTTGCACAACTACACGTCGCAGGTAGAGACACCCTGTCGCTGCATTGTGCATATCGGGTGCGATGCAGGTGCTCGTGCACGAGTATGACGACCTCTGCATGGCCGTCGCGACAGCGACCGATACGGTGGCAGTGCAGCGGCGCCACCATGCCTACGTAGCAACCTTGCTGGCGCGGTACACACCTCGAGCACGTCGCATGCACTTCGAACCTGTATAGGTGTTTTTTGACGCGCGGATCCGCCGACGTGCAGACGGCCGTGCAGAATTGCTTGACGCGGCTCTCGACCATGTGCACGCAGCTGCAGCTCGGGTCCGTCGCCACCGCCGACCACGCCAAGGAGCTCTTGCTGCACGTACTGGACGCGGCGCAGCACCACGACGGCGATGCAGTCGCGCTCTGCGATGCGCTGCGGCTCCAGCGCGACCGTGACGGCCATGCCTCGGCCTTTGTCGAGGTACTCTCGTCTCTTGATGCGGATGGATGGCGAGATGCGCGGGGTATGTCATAGGACTTGCTCTTGCAGCTCGACTGGAACGGGTACTATGGCCGACGGGACGACGAAGGTGCCAACATTAGTATTAAATAAACAGTCGCAAGAGACCCCTGCGAATCACGCGACGGCGACAGACGGGGCACTGGTGCTTGGTACGCTGCAGCGATCTTCCAAGACACTCGTCGCAGAAGACGTGGCCGCACTTGGTGGCGACGGGCCGGCAGACGGCGTCGAGGCAGACGGGGCATTCCAGCGATGGCCGGCGCTCCGATTCGGATGACGGACGTGGGCGGTCCAGCGCCACGTCTTGCAGCTCGCCGAGCGACTTGGTGGTGACGGCGGCGTCGTCGTCGTCGTCGTTGTCCGAGCAGTAGAGGAGGCGGTCACAGAGCGCCGACGTCGGTCGATGCATCGTAAGTCGTTTGCACACTGGTTGTTGTTGTTGTGGCACACGCTTCAACTTGCCCCAACACAACACGGCTGGTTGATAGTCTAGTTGCACGCAAGCCGTCGCAATGTATTAGGCAAGGTTTCGGATATGGGATTTCGAGACAAGTCCGCGACGAGCCAGGCGCGAATGGATCTGCGGCCATAGAGAGGGCAAGATCGCACCACGACAGGTCGCGTTGGAAGGGAGAAGAAAGCTGGCGATGATGGATGAGGTGGAGGATTTTGAGAACATTGCAAGCGCATGCATCAAGCGTCTTCCTTGTCGCGGGTCAGAGGCGAACAGGATTGTCGAGTTGATTTTCTATTTTCCAAGGACGCCTTGGCGCGACACGACGGCGTCCATTGCTTTCGCATGGCTCAACGTTCCAGAGCTTGAGAGAGAAGCGGCGCTTTCTGGTTCCATGACCTGCAGTAGCCAGTCGGAAGCCTTGATTGGGTGTTTTTAGTCGACCGGCTGCGGATCCGGATGCTCCCAACGTGGGTCGGTGTACAAAATGTATCAAGAGCAGTGAGTGGTATCAACAGGTATCAAAGTGTCAGTTCTCGCACAAGTCGTCGCGTGCAGCTCCATGTACCCGTGTGCAATGTCTCTTTCAGTGTATCAAGCGTAGCTATCAAGCGCGTGGCGACGACAGGCTTCAAAGCGCGTGCCAGTGCCCTTTGCGGTATCTGGGGCGTTGTGGCGCCAAGACATGACGCGGGCTGTGGCGCCAGCGTCCAGTGCATTGTCACGCATAAAGAAGCTCATACGGCAATCTGGCATCTATCGGCAGGGCAAATGCAGTCTACCCGTGAAATATTCGGATGGTGGCGCTGGTCGAGATTCCACATCGAATGCACAACTTGTCGTCTGCCTTTTCCACGTGGGGACTCGCTACGTGGTGAGGCGGTCAGGTTTCATTCATTGGGGTACATTCAATGGGTACATGACTATTTCGTCAGATTTGCAATTGAATTTTCATTTTATTTTTTATTTTATTACTCCCTTTTCTATTTTATAATGACATCACTTTTATTGCTCTTTTGCACGTTGAGTATTTTATTATTATTGCTATTTGGTTATACTAGTTTTACTATTCGGAGATATCCGGATAACGCCAGGCCATGCCTGGAAGCTGCAGTGCTCGTAATACTGTCTCACTGGATTGTTCAGGTGCTAAACGACACAAGCAAAAGCGGGAAGAGCTCTCTTGGGGATCGCTGCCTGCCCGCTTCTTGCGTATTTTGTTCCCACGTGGACTCTTTGTCCAATGTAATATGACTATATTTGAACAAACGGTTTAGAGTCATGTGAAAGTCAGTGTGACCGAGCGGTCCAAGGTGCTAGACTCAAGTTCTAGTGTGTTCGCACTCGCGGGTTCAAATCCCGCCGCTGACATTTTTGCTGTTCTTTTCAAGGCATGATAGTGATTGCAGCATCACACTTCCGCCCGGCACCACCTCTTACAACACGGGTCATCATCAGTCGTACATCACATGCGTTAGTCCAAATACGTCCGCCGTCACGTGCCGTCAGAAAAGCACTCTATGTCCTCGCTCTCGAACCAATGTGTCATCTGCTCAGGTCGCACGACCACCTAACGTTAGCCATCAGGATCACCGGCCAGCAACATGCCGTAAGCTGCTTTGCCAATGATACCCAGTTCATTGCCTGCGATGCACCGACTCTGGCTCAACAACTCGCTCTCGTCGACACGCTATGCTCTTATTCTGACTTCGAGCTCAACCGCGACAAAACCGAGCTGCTTACGTTTGGCGGCGCACTCCCCTATCTTCCAGGACAAGTTGTCACGCCGAACGCGCCTGCAAAAGCGTTAGACATCTTGGTCGCGCCGAACTTGGCACCGCAAGCTCGTAACGACGACGCGCTTTAGAAGTTTCGCAACCATCTTTCAGCTTTGGTCGCACTAAAAGCGCTCGTTCGTTGGTAAAGAAGTTATATCGCAGGCTGTCTAGGCCTTTGTTATCAGCTCACGGGGGTTCCTCCCGAATGCCTCGCTTGCTGCCCAAGTCGATCGGTTCTTGGTCAAGAACATCTACGACGACCCGCTCACGCTCGCTGGACGTCGGACGCATCGACATTTTGCTCAACATCTTGTTTTCTTAGCCAAGCGCTACGGAGGCCTCGGTCTCTCGCACGCGTACGACCTTTGGAAATCGCGCATCCGCTCGACATCGCTCTGCTTTGTCAAGGCATGACTTAGCCAACTACAAGACCCGCCCCATGTGAACCACGGCAGGTGTTGCGCTTATGGAGGAGGCGTACCAACGTAGGGGTCCTTCGGCGACCCTTTCCACGCAAGCAAGAACCACCCGACGGTCAAGGTTCTCTTCGCATCGCCCAGCTTTCCAGCACGTTGGCCATCGGCTCTCATCGCACGTCTACACCATGCATGGCTCGCCACAAATGGTCGCCGACCTCGAAGAACATCTACCAATTCTTTTTCTAGCGCTGCAGCCAACCCCCGTTGGATCCGGCTGCTCGCGACCGCTCTTGTTCGCTGCTACCCGCTCATCTCGCCTGCCGATCACACCGTGCGCCCAACCAGTGCCCCCCATGGCTCGTCAAGTTCAGACCCCGTGTCGTCCTCGCGGCGACAATAGACGTCCTACTGACTGGCTACCGACATCGACCGAAATTTGGTTGGCGTGAGCTTCCTTTGAAACACCTAGGCGTTCCTGAGACCTTCTTCGAGCAACCGGGCCTAGCGGCCTTGTTTGTACCTTTACGGCAGCCATCCCACGTCCTTCTGCGGTACGGTGACTTCGTGTACCGGGCCGCGTTACCGGTACAAGCCATAGCCGTCCGATCCAACTTGCCCTTTCTCGGCTCCGATGCTCGCTGCCTTCTCTTCGATGCGCAAGCCCGCGAAACGTGCGACCAACAATTGATGCGCCGCCCATACGTCCGCGCGATCTGGCGCACTTTTGCGCCGATGCGAGGCATTCTGCAAATGCAACTCGAGTCGTCAGCCGCTAGCTTTCTTTATGACGCCGTCGGCTCGCCGAAGAGAACAGCCTGCGATATAACTTCTTTACCAACGAACGAGCGCTTTTAGTGCGACCAAAGCTGAAAGATGGTTGCGAAACTTCTGAAGCGCGTCGTCGTTACGAGCTTGCGGTGCCAAGTTCGGCGCGACCAAGATGTCTAACGCTTTTGCAGGCGCGTTCGGCGTGACAACTTGTCCTGGAAGATAGGGGAGTGCGCCGCCAAACGTAAGCAGCTCGGTTTTGTCGCGGTTGAGCTCGAAGTCAGAATAAGAGCATAGCGTGTCGACGAGAGCG